CTCCCATATTCAGAAATCCTTCTCTAGTTTCAAGTTGTTTCTTTATTTCCCAAGCTAAATCTTATATTTGAGAAGATACAGTTCTTGAAGCTTTGGATGAAGTAAGAAGGCAACTGACACTCTGCAAATTAAGTTCCTCTGAAAATAAGTGCAATTTAACAGAGACAGCTATACAAAGTGGCATCAGAATGAAGATGCTGTCCTACCACCAATTTAATTTCTTTCCTTAGGAGTTTGACCCAATAAAAGCAGGAAGTTTAACTTGAAACTGATTAGGAATCTTGCTTGCTTGTTAAATGTATATGCTGCCTCCATCCAGAAGTACATGGTAACTTACATGATATTCCCTCAGATGGTAACCCCCAACACCAGCCAGGTGAGGTAGGTTGTGCTGAGGGGAAATGATTGGGTCAAGTCAAATATGAGCTTCCTTGCTGACAGGAATTTGAACCTGGGCCTCCCAGTTCAAATCCAGTATCCTGCACTCCACTGATGTAATATTCCATTGTTCAGAGTTGAGTTTTATTTCTTTTAACATAGGAAACTGAAAGTAACAATTTCACTCAGCAGCTGCTCCTGACTTCTACCAGCCCCATCCTACCCCATGTTCTTCCTAAACTTAATGTCTGAAGCAACCAACCTCAGAACTCTAAAATACTTTTATTTGTACATCCGTGCAAATTAAAAGCGACTTAAGCTCTTCAGGTACATCCGATCCATCAGTTTATAACGGGGGATCCAGTTGCACTCCTGCCCCTCCCAATTTAAGAGACTGATTTTAAGTTTGGAGCCAGAAATGGAAACGGGATTTGTACGTCGCGCTAAACCAAACGACACGATGCCCAGGAAGGCTTAATGGGTTGTGTGAATTCAACCTCTTTAAAGTTGGGAAACGCTCGGTCGCCTGATATGCTGCCCCGGTTAGGAGGATTTTTCCCCCTCTAACCGGAAAACGTTTAATGTGGCAGCCATTTGCACAAAAGCTTATTCAAACCACAGAGCATCTCCTCGCGAGCTCGCGGGAAAGTTGGCTTTTGCTTCCAGGCCCAGAGACAAAACTTGACAGCGCTTCTTCCCTCGGGGTATTTTCAGCCTTCTCAGTTTGACTGATGGCTTCTTCCATTCCGCAGTTTGCACAAATTCAGCAGATGTGAAACAAGTTCCCCACCCCCAGGGGTGTCCTCGAAGTATGGTAAAAAAAAAAAAAATCAAGATGGCGGTCACGGCGTTGCGATCGAAGCCCGCCCTTTTTTATATGCACG